AATGTGTATAATTTCATCTGCTTCTGAGATACGTAATATTATCTGACTGATAAGTGAAAAATACCTTTTTGTATCAATGAAATGTCAAAATAATGTTTGTATATTTTACCCTTTCTGCCTATTTTGGGCCTCTGACAAGTTGACACATGGTCCCAAAATTCTCTTTGCCTTCATATTTTTGTCTGGACCCCCTGTAAGATTGGGAACATCCAGCTAAGCCAGGCAAACTTCAGAATACAAAATTCACATCAAGGGTTAAGTATCAATATCTTTAGTATTCTTTTAATTTTATTCTGCCAAATACCAAGCAGTGGTAGAATTTTAAATCAAGGTATCTGTTACCTGAAAAGAATTGTTGAAGGCAGACCAGTTTCCATGGAATTTTCCCTCCTGCTGGATATTTACACACTCTGCTGGTACCACAGGAAAGCAGCAGGGGCCATGGGATAACTTAGATTTTTATCTTTTGGACAGAGCACAGCTTGAAAACATGAAATGTCAAATTTATTGCCAAAACTGAAATGAAATCTGACTTAATTATACTGCAGAAATTTCCAGGAAGTCTGAGTGTGAAAGACTTAAATGAACAGGCTAAAGAAAAGGTAAAAACAGAGAATCTGTCTAGTTTCAATAATGGATGAGCATAAACTGAGCTGGCAGAGGTAGAATAAATGCCACAGGATTTTTTTTTTTTTTTTTGTTATTTTGATCACTGAAAATATCCCCAGATGTGAGGCAGAGACTGGGAAAAAGGCCACACTCTCCAGAAATCAAAGCTCCAAGCAGTGCCTGTGCTCCTCGTCGAGAACCAATCTCAGATGTGCACAGCAGGCTGGGAATCCCCAAACAAGATGTGAAAGGCCTCTACTCTGACACCAGAGAGAAGAAATCAGGTTAGTTGTGTGCAGAAAATGTTCTGCTGCACTTCCTTTTGTTTTGGAGTCCAAGGGAAGTCCCAGCAGAAAGTCATGAGGGGTGTAGTTGAATGAAATTCAGGATAAATTAGCAAATGTTTGTTCAGAGCTTTGAAATCTAAATCCATGTAGGGAGGAGCTGGGGGGTTTGGGAGCAGGATTTTTATGGAGGTGGGCTGAAGATCTGTTTTCAAACTGTGGGCACCAAAACAAGTGTCAGGAATGCAGGGGCCCTGGAGGTGTGAATTAAACATCCTCTGCAAATGGGGAACATTAATCAAGGCTGCCCTGAGCCTCCTGCAGCTTAATTTCAATTACTCTTCAAAGCATAATCAGTTCCATGCCAAATATTGAGGTGGGAGGAGTAGGAAGGGTCTGAAGAGTTGCTGTGAGTTTAAGAATTGGTTCCTTGACTTTTTCCTCTCAGTCCTGTCTGTTTTGGTTTTTTATAAAATGTTTGTTTTTCATCTGCTTAGGTAATTTATGGACCAGATTGGGGTCTGCTCCGAAGACACAGGAAAAGACTCCAGAGAAAGCTGAAAACTCTGTGGCATCTCCAGAGGAAGATGACTCTGAGCTGCAGAGGGTTTGGGGTGCTCTCATCAAGGAAAAAGAACAGTCCAGGCAAAAAAAGAGTCGCTTGGATCATTTACCCTCCCTACAAATCGAGATCAGCCGGGAAAGCAGCTCTGGCTCAGACTCTGAATCATGACTGGGTTCACAGCCTGACCCTGCAGGTGCTGCCTCTGCAGCCTGGCAGGATCCCCTTTGCCCAGGAGCTGGACACTGGCAAAGACTCTGCAGTGAAGGTTCCAGAAGTGTTTTTGATCCTTTTCTACAAACAAGAGAGGCATAAACCACTTGAAACCTAAAGCAAAGACATTTGTCTGGAGTCTGTGGCTGGCCCTGTGCTCTGCAGGGCATTGTCATCTCTGGTTGTGACAGCAAACCTGTAGTGAATTGTAGCAAAACATTTTCTTCCCCAAGCTTTGAACTTAAAAGATGAGGCAGAAATGCTCTGTGTTTTTAAGGAGACCTTTTCTGTTCTTGATGTTTTCATCATGGAGGCTTTTAACAAAATGTTTTACACACCTCATCCAAAGAACAGCGCATTTATTTCATGATCCAGATCATTGCCTTGCCCTTCTGGCTCTTACCAGCACCTTTCCTTTCCTCCTGAAGTAATAACAATAAAGCTTCCTGGGTGGGCAGCCAGCAAGGATAAAGCATGAAGGGATTGATTATCACACTGAATGTAAATCCAAGTTACACATTTTATCACAGTTAAATCCCCTGTAGGTATCCCAGTGGCACCACCAGAATCCAAGGAATCCTGCTCATTCATTTTGGTGATGCCACATTCTGCTGTAGCAGAGATTGAGATGTTCAGGACTGCAAAGTTGGATGTTTGACAATTGTGTAAACCCCTGAGGGTTTGGGGGTTGTTTGTTTGGTTTTTTTTTTGCTGTTATTCCATGAGGAGAGATTATATTCCTGTCATTCCACCTGGATTATGTCCTGAAGCAATCCATCCGACAGGAAAGCATTTTTATATTTGTGAGAATCTTCCCATTGGCCACAGTGAAAGCTCTAGTGGTGTTCTCCTCTGTGCTGTTCTATCTATGTAGAAGTGAAAGAGAAAAGGAAAACTTTAGGATCACTGTCTCCTGTCAATATTTTGGATGTTCTTCCTGTATATTACACGTGGATGTGGACATGGGTGACTTGTTCCATTCAGCTTTTTTACCTGCACATTTTCACCCCTCCCTGGGTAGGACAAGGGTTTGATCAGTGTGCAGCTGCTGTTTTTTATTTTTATTTTCATATTGTCAGTAATTCTGAGTGAGGAATAATGCAGCACATCACATTCAGGTAAACAACAGGTAGCAAAACCATTTTAATAGTCTGAAATCTGTTTGCATTGTCCCTGTTCCTTGGTTCTGTCAGTCCAAAATATCTGTGACCTTTTCTTCCCATTTCTGCTTTTTAACAAGCAACTTTTTCACTTTTTATTTTTTTGCCCCTCCTGTTTTTGTACTAAGTTGAAGTAGGTTGGAGATTTCAGCAAGGAATCTGCAAAATGAACTTTTCTTGTGCTTTATGATGTGTGAGGATAGCAGCATGTCGAATGAAAGGTCAAATGGCAGGCACAGTGACTGCAGGGGCAATCTGGGGGCTGACCAGGCTTCAAGCCTTACTCTTTCCTTGTTTTGTGACACTCATCCTTGGTTTTATATTTAATTATTGAATATATAAATGTCTCATAAAAGTGCTGTTGAGAGAAACGCCTGCAATGTCTGATCACTGTAAGAACTCATTTTAAACGTGTGCTTTCACTGATACCCTCTCCCCAAGCTTTCCCAGAGAATCACTCCCATCTCTCCAATCCTGATAAAATTTATTTCACTGGTGTTTTTGCCAGCAAACCTTTGTGTTGTGTCACTGCTTTGAATCCATTTGGGACCTTTCTTTTTCCTGAAATGAATCAACACCTCATGCACCAAAGCTGGATTATTGGGAGCTCTTGTGTGGTGTTTCCATGTCAATATTCCTAATTTAAACCTGGTGAAGGATAAATTGATGGGATTAGAGGATCTCTAGCTGATCGAAAAGATTTGTGAATCAAGTACAGGCCTGTGACCCTTAACTCTGCTTCTGCCTTCCAGGTTGTCAGAAATATGCCTTAAAAATTCCCCCATCCAGGTCAGGACTGTGCTTTTATGGTTTTGGGGGGGGTATGTGTGATAGTGAGCCCACAGGAGCTTAGCTGCAAGAAAAAATGAAGTTTATTGTTTAGAGAGGGTTTTGTAATTGAGTGTGCCTGGTTTTGCTTTTTTATCATGCACAGAGAAGCCTTGGAAAGTGCTGGTATCAGGAATTCTTTCCAGCTTTGGGCTTCCTTAGTTACCTGAGCCAGGGATTTGGTATAAAAATGGACTCTGAATTTTAACTCAATGCTTTTTCCTCAACGTTTTAACTTACATCTATTTGATCAAGAGATGCAGAGAGAATTTTGTTCCTTTCTCTTTGTGTTCAGCTGTTCAATCCTTAGCTAATGTGATTCTTCACTCACCTCTCAGCTATCATCACCTACAAGAATTTGATGCAGAAATTGATGTTTGATAAGAGAGATGGGACCTGTGTATTTCACTAAAATGGGTTTATGTTGAAAGTGGCAAAAAAGGAGAATGTTGGCTTTGGCTCTTGCTGGAGGATCTGAATTTTAGGTGATTTGTTATAGCACCACACTAGTCCTTCTTGTAGGGAAGTTTTTGCTGTTTGGAAAATTTGGATTTTTGATAAATAGTTCCTCAGGCTGAACACGTGGTGTTAAGGGTGAAATTTTAAAGCAAAGCTGGCTTTATGTTTGTTTTTAAAACGATGGCTGATGCACTTAACAGAGGGAAAAGGACACCAAAACGCTCCTATTTTCAGTTCAAGATGACACAATGAGAAAAGAATGGAACTTTTATTTAAAACCAGCTGTTCTGTTCTAAACAAAAGTGGCCTGAAATCGCTCCGACCTCTCCAGCGTTCCTGGAAAAGGCAGAACCAGGCAGGGCGATGCTCCCTGGGGCTGTGCCCGGCCACATGAGCGTCCCTCCCCGAGGCTGTCACCTGTCCGTGCCCTGAGGAGGTGCCTAAACCTGTTTTGGGTTTTTTTGGGGTTTTGGGGTCGGGGTTTGAGCGAACCACGCGGCTCCGCCCGCCCCGTTCCCTCACGGGAGGAAATGGGAGCCTCACCTCCCCCCGCCTGCGGAGCAGTGGCACAGCCCGCCCCCGCTCGGGGGTGGTACGGCCCAAGGCTTTATAAGCGGCCGCCGAAAGGATTCGCGCCCTTTCGTCCCGTGCCTTTGGGGCTGTTCAGGTGAGAGCAGGTTTGGCTGGGCCGGGCTCAGGGCTGGGCTCGGGGCCTACAGGGCGGGCAGCGGGAAGGCGCAGGCCCGGCGTACCGAGTGAAACGCTCGTACAGCTGAGCGAGCTGAAGCGCTCGCTCCCCCAGCTCGGCAGTGGTAGCGGCCGCCGGGCCTGCCTGGGCCGCGCGGGCCGGGCCGCACCATTGGAAGGGCGGGGGGGGGCGCGGCCTCGCGGCGCGTGGCGGCTCATGGCCCTCACCGCCGTCATGGTCCTTGTCCCTCAGGCTACCATGGAGGCCGCAGCGGCACCGCGACCCCGCCGGCAGCGCCCGGACCCCGCCGGGACCGCGGAAACGCCTCCCCGGTAAGTCGGGAAGGGTTCGGCCGGGTTGGAGCTGTGTGTGTGGGGAGCGCTGCTGGCACGGCCCTGCCCGGGGCTCCGTGAGGGCCCTGCAGGAATCGCTGCTCTGCGGGGAGTGCTCGGCATCCAGCGCTGTCCATGGGTTTTTGTGGCGCTGCAGCCATAAAAATCAGCAATTAAAGCCCTTTTTAAAAATTTTTAATATAATGGACCCTTTCTGTGTCATTTAAAATTGCACCCAGAGCATTGGGGTGTTTGCGATTTCAGTTTGAAAATTGCCCTGTTGGTAAATACAGTCTTGTGAACTGCATTCTTATTCTACTTTAAGTTTACATAATTCTAAATTTCCACGTCAAGAATTACTTACAGAGAATTTCCTCATTAAGAATTAGTTTAGAGAATTATTTGAGTACTAATAGTTGTCTGATATAAATATTTCAGTGATACATATCAACGTAAGCACGGGTGGAAACACAAGCAGAGTTGATCGTGAGGGTCTGGTTTTGTTCTTGTTTTTCCCTGCATAAACTTATTTTATACTGCTGAAAAGCATTGTAGTAACACTTCTGCTTTTATTCCCACAGCAGAAAGATGTCGTGAAGTAAAGAGTAAGTTCAGTTTTTTCTTTTTACATTAAAGTGGGCAAAGTTGTTAAAAGGGGTTCCAGACCTTTACAAGTCAAAATAATCTGTAAAAATTACATCTTAAGTTAAATAACAACTAAATAAAACTGATTTTGTGTATGCACATATTAAGAGTTAATGCTTCATGACACGGGGGAGACTGTACAACTGTTTGAGATGAAAGCTGGTGTTTTAGGTGATTAATTAGAGGAGTTAATGAACGGCTGTTGATGATGATAACCCTGAATAGGAAGTGCCGTCAGATGCGAGAACTGACGATACCCTGGTTCTGGTCTGAAATGCAGCTACACACAGGAGCTCAAACCTCCACATTCACCCTCTAGAGCCAGCAGGCAGCTTTGCTGTCCTTGGAAACGTCTCACCTTGTCCTTCTGTCCCACTTCTCTGCAGAGCTGGGCCTTCCACCTGAGTGTGACACAGCAGGAGCAGCTGGGGAGAGGTGGCTCTGATGTGAAGGTGAGTGATGAATTTCAGAGCACTACATAGAACTCTGTACCAGGTGAAATGTAAATTTAGAGTGAGGTTTATAGGATATAAGGAGCTTGAGTCTGTGTTCCTTAGAATTTCAAGCCTAATCTTTATTTTCTGATGTGTTTAGGTAGAGCCTGCAGGGCTGTGCTGATGGTGATGTCCCCCCATTGATGGGACAGCTCTTCCCAAGTCCTGTGGAGGGCACTGGGACAGCAGAGCAGGAGAATCTGCTGGGTGAGTTTGATATTCATTGTGCTCTTAGCTGAGTGTGATGGCTTTTGGCTGCAGCCTCAAAAAGAGACTTAATTATACATTTAGAGCAGCTTTTCTGTTTCTAAATGTATAATTAATGAAGCTCTAGGCAAAAAATGCAGTAAATGTGTGAGGGCAGCTGTTTGTGCACTGCAGACACACATAAAGGTCTGTTCCTGTTCCTGCCACAAAAGTGTCAATTCCCTGTGATATCACATGATGAAACTAACCCAAACGTGCTGGAATTACCGGCAGATTGACTGGTGGTGAGCAAAAGGTTTTCTGATGATATCTGACTCATTAACAAATGCATTGATGAGGATTAAGGCTGGTTACCTGACCCTGCTCCTGTGTTCCAGGTGGTGCTGCTGGAAGCATCTCTGAGGCAGAAGGACTCCAACAGAACACCTGGGCTTGAGGAGTTTGTGTAGACAGAACGTTTTTCTGCCTGTTACAAAGTGGTAACAGTTAAAGTGTTTTATTACATGTACATTAAAATAATTTTAAAAACAAAAAATAACACTGTTTTGTCACTTTACTGCATTAAGGAAACTGGGCACTCCTATAATGTGCTGTAAGATAAAGATGATGTACCAAGATTGCAAAATTTTCACTGCAGATGATTCCAGTGGGGTTTAGTGTGGTAATGAGAGTTTTAACAAGGCACCAAGAGTGTAATTAATTACTGCACAGATCAGCCCTTCAGTGCTCTGACAGCCATAGCAGCAAATGCAGCTGCATCTGTGGCTTGTTTGCAGGATTGCTGTTTGTCATTTTGTTTTAAAAAATTAAATTTAAAGTCTCCTGCAGAGCCAAAGTTCAAGGGTTAGGGGGAATCTTGGCAACTTGGAGATGCTTTAAAGAGATACAACCCAGTGTTTGAGGCCAAAACTCCCAATTAGCTTAATTATGTCAACAGAACTGGCAGGTTCAGTGCTCCCAACATCCAAAGTGATGGTGCTGAGCCTTCTGCCCACCTGGTGTCAGCAGTGAGGGTTTTAGGGTGTGCTTTTTGCAAAATTCAATTAATAATTAAACTAATTCCTCACAAGCCTGTGGTCACTGCTGAGGGGGGATCAGAGTGGTCACTGCACAGCTCCAAGTGGGAGAGCTTGGGATTGTTTTGCCTTCCCTGTGCAGTTCAGGTGAAGATCTGAATTGATTTTCATTTTGATTTTCTGACTGGAAGCTGTTGTGAGCTGGTGCTGCTCGTGTGGCATCAGGGCAGTGTCCCTGTCCCTCCAAAAGCACAGGTGGCTGTGCTGCCTGAGGTACAAATTGCATGAAATGCAGAATTTCAGGAATTTCTCTTAAAGTTCAGAAAAACAGGCTCAGTGTTTTTCAGAGAAATCTGGTTCTTCAACATGCAGGTAAATGAATCTGGATTTTTTTTCCTAGAATTGTCACTGTAGTACATCCAGGGCTTAATAAAAACATTCAGCCTGGGCAGTGGAGTAGGTAAAACATTTGGAATTAATTAGTTGCTCTTAATCTGAAAGGATTTGAACAGTATGAAGAACAGGTTACTCCTCTGCTTTATTAAAATTTAAAATTCCATTCTGTTCCCAATGTTTAAAGAACCAAAACTTATTTTTGCCTGATTTTACGAGCTTGTGTATTAGAACATGTTTATATTTCTTATCTCATGCACTGGGAATAGAAATGGGTTTAAAGCTCTCAAAAACCACAAAGATCCACCTCCTTTAAATGTGAATCTGCAGACCATGGAGGTAAAAGCAGCCACATGCCCTCAGCAAACAGAAATAATCAGCAAATTGTTTAATGAGCTGTTTAATTTGCTCAGGGAAGGTTTGCTGCAACTTGTTTTAAAGTTCTTGCTTTCTAATGTTGGAATTCTCTCATTAAAACAGAGCAAAGTTGATCTGGGAAAACTTGAATAATGAATTTACCTGAGTTTATTGAGGGTGCAGTTGGTATCTGTTAGAGATAAATATTCATGAGTTTCATTTTAGCATCACTTGTTTATTGTTCTAATCAAAACCAAAGTTCCTCAGCAGGGATCCTTTAGCAGGCTGGGGTTTTGCTGAGATTAATGAATGGAAAATGTTATTTCTGTTGGAAAATGGTGCCTTTCAAACATAACAAATGTCCTCAGTGTTTTACTGTGATTTTCCAGGGGAGCACAGATAATTTCATGGTGCTTGAGGGGAAGGGAAATAAAACCATTCTGTTTTGATTACATTTGGAGCACTTAAAACTTAGTGTTGGGGAATAAACAGCAGACAAAAATCTGGTTTTAAAACACAATTATTTTGGATTTTCTAAAGGTTTCAAAAGAACAGTTGGCAGGAATCCCTTTGGCACTCAACAGCAGGCAACAACCCTGGATAAATCTAAAATAGATGAAAAGATTAAAGCAGAAAGAAAAAACATGCAACAAAGCAAAGAATGGCTGAGTGCCAGCTTTTAGCAATAAGAGAGATGGCAATGCCATGTCTCAAATCAGTGTTTGAGAGGAAACAGGGAGATTATCCCCAAAATCTGGGCTGAGGGGCTGGAATTGAGGAGGAGAGGATCCACAGGGGCAGAGCTGCCTCACTGTAAATCACAAGCTCCACATTTCACATAAATGCTGGTTATCATCCTCATTCTTGATTAGTATTGTAAAGCAATCCTGTCTGCAGCAGCATGAGAATCATCACTGATGCAAAGCCATAAATTACTGTAATTAATACATGCCAACCATTAATGCAATGTAAAGAGCAGCTCTCTCTTGGCTTGCTGGCTGCTGATCCAGCTGAGGCAGTTTGAGCTGCAGCTCCTTAATTAGGAGGGAGGAAGGGATATCCTGTGTGTCTGAGCTTTTCAGAGTGCAAGAAATCCTAAATATTGATATTTCACTGCTTTTCCCCTCAGAGCAGGAGGAGGAGCTGTTAATTTTCCAACTCTCCATCTCAGAGATGTGAGGCACAGAGGAGCTGCTGTTGGTGTCCTGCAAGAAAAGTGCCCCAGGTTTGTTTTCTCCCACCTAAAGGATGTCAAAAGCTTTGTTACAATTTCTGAGACATCACAGGCAGCAACTCCTGAGCTGCTCAGAGCAAAACCTCAAAATAACCAGGAGGACTTTGGCCTTTCTCAGGCTCAGGGTGTTCCTGGCACCCCCTGACCTTGTGCTGGCAGAGCTGGAGCACGTTTCAGTGTTCCTGTGAGGAAGGACAAGGTTAATGCATCATCATCTAATGCTCTGCCAGGACAAACATCCCCTTCTTTGTCACCTCATGTCGTTTAGTGCCTTAATTTTATGCTTGAAATCAGTTTCAGCCCCGCTGTTATGAACTGATCCCAAACCTGCTGAACGTGGGGAGGGCTGAACAGGTGGGGTTTGATTCAGGGTGTGCAAGGAGAGCTCATTTAGAGAACTTTGAGCATTTTCTGCTCCTGTGCTCTAATTCAGAGTCACATCTGTCCTGCTCCACCTCCTGACGCTCCAGCCCACAAGGTGGGGCAGTGACCAAGCTCAGAGCATTTGAAATAAAAGATTTTTGCAGCCTTGAAGATTCTTTGGGGAAACTCAGTTTAAATGCTGGTTCCTTCCCTGTTTGTAATAAGATTTGCAACTTTCATTACTGTGTGGAGAATCCCACACACAGTGATAATGTCACTCTTTAATTAGTTGTTAATTAATGTGTGTTAGTGTTGGACCAGCAAAGGCTCATTTGATCAGGTTTAATGCTGTGCAAACTTTCACTTCATGGTTCCACCCCAAAGTGTGAGGAGGAGCCAGAGGAGTTAAAACTTATTTTTATTTGATAAAAATAAAGAATAATTTGCCCTTCATTACCCTCCCCTCCCATGCAGCTCAGGAGCTGCCAGGCTCTGCCTGCTCCAGGTGGATTTTGAGTCAATAAACACCCCCAGTCCAGCACCTGTGTGCAGCTGAAACCTGAACAAAATGCAAATGAGGAAATCACTCAGTGGAGCTGATTTCAAATCCCTGCTCTTTTAATCAAATAGAGATGTTAAAAGTTTAATCTCCAATAATTGACATTTTTGTTTGTTAGGCTCCTGTTCGTTTTTGCAAGTCAATACCTGGAATTTTTTTTCATAACAGGGTTTTTTTTTATTTGTAATGGTTTGTGGCAAAATCATTGCACAGCCCAGCTGCAGCAGAAACTCTAAACAAATAATGATTGATGTTTCTGAAGCTGCCTGTGGCTTTCTGCTGGGCTCTCCTTGGTTTTCTTTATCATTTTGATTTATTTCCCAGATTTTTTGATTGCTTTCTTGCTTGTGCTTTCCCAGATCCTGTCAGATAGTCACTCTAAGTTTGATTTTCTTGGTGGTTTTTGTGTATTTTGTGCATTTGCAAACTGCACCCAAAGGTTTGTTGGGTGCTGTTACCACTGAACAGTGGAATAGGCTTGAGGTTTAACAGCACATTAAAGACAAACTCCCAGCTAAGCCTGAGGTTATCAGCCATAACAAAAAATAATAAATCTTCCTGGATAGCTGAAACTTCATTAATAAACACCTGAGTCAAGATAATAGTGGCACCAATGATAATTTGGTTATCAGCCCTTATCAGACAGCAAGTGCAGTGCTAGGCTGAGGTGATCTGTGAGCTGTTTAATGCAGCAGCAGCTGAAATATCCAACAGAAATGTTTCACATCTGTGCCTCCATCTGACAATCCTGCAGCAGCCTGCAGTGCTCCACATCACCTCAGCACAGATAAGGAACTGGGGCTGGAGCCCTGCTGGGAGCAGGCAGAGCCTTTGGTCACTCATTGGATGAAGCAATTTTCCTGAGCTGTGTCAAATCAGGTATTTCATTCCTTCCATCCATGGCAGTAAATAATAAACTCTTTGTGCTGAGTGAAATCCAGGGGATTCCTGCTGGGAAGATGATGGGAATTGTTTCAGAGGTGGGAGCTTTGAAATGCACAGTGATGGGCAGCCCCTGCACCAAGGTAGCTGCACTTTGAATTTAATGTATTTAATCATTCCAGGCACCTCCCCAGCAGCCTGTTTGCTGCTGGGCTTTGGGGGGAAAATGCTCTGTGCTTGCAGGAGGTGAAATAAAGCTTCAGTGTCAGGGCCAGGCTGTTTGGAAATGCAAAACAGGAGCTGCATCAAGGGCAGGGGTTTCAAAGGTGCTGCTTTTATGCTGCAGAAAGGTCTTTGGAGATGACAGCAACAACGTGGTGTCACCTGGCAACAGGTCAGAGGCTGGAGCTGAGACAAAAGAAGGGTTTCAGGGAGGAGAACAGGGCTGAAAAATCAGCAACAACAAAATGGTTTGGAGAATGGCTGTGACACCAGGGTGAGGGACAGCTCTGGGCTGGTGGCTGCCCCTGCCCTGAAGTTCAGCCCATTTTGGGGGCTGGCACAGAAAAAAGGACAATATTTGCATTTCAGCCCCAGCTCTGCTGTTTCTGTGCCTGTGGTGGAGGGGAGCTCTGAGCCTGCAGGAAAGCAGAGCTTGGGAAAATGCTGAGCCCTGGAATTGATCATTTAACAAGCAGGTGGGTGCAGTGAGGATGAAACAACAACAAAAAAAGGAATGGTGAAGTTCTGCTCTTGGGAAGTGGTGTGGAAATGCACACAGCCCCAAGCAGAGCCTTTTGTTCTGTGTGTTTGAGGCTTTTCCACCTCTGGGATTCTCTGCCTGTTTCTCTACAAGCAGAACTCCCAGCAGTGGGATCAGGGTCAGAGCCCTGGGGCAGCAGCTCCCAGACTGGGATTGATTCTTTAGTGCTTTGGTTTTCATTCCCAGAAGAGCTGGGACTGCAGCTCTCACCTGAGTGAGTGACCAGGCAGGGAGCAGCTGCCCAAGGGAAGCTCATTGCTGGGTTTCCACATCTTTTGCAGCCCAATATTCCATAATTTTTCATCCATCCCTGACTCTCTGCATGTCAGTTCCATAAATTTGGGCCTGTGGGAAGATGCTTTGAGGTTTTATTTATGTAGATTGTGTTTAGGATGGCTGTGAGTGCTGCTTGCAAAATCCTGATCACAAAGCACCTCCCCAAAGCCTTCCCAGAGCCAGAGAAACCCTGCTTTTCCCTGGAGAAGGACAGAGCTGGCAGGGAGAGCCAGGAATGAAGTGATTTTACATCACACACCTTGCAAATCCAGTGATAAATGCCCAGACCAAACCTGCAGCGAATTAAATATTAATATTTCTCTCCTCTTTTGTAAACTTCCAGTCTATTTGTCCTTCCAATTACAGCTCCCTGAGAGCTGCCACGTGCACTCACTGCAGGCTGGGATTGCTGGATCCAAACCAGCCCACAGGTTTATTTTCTCCTCAGACTGAGTTAATAAAAAGCAAAGAAAAAGGATGGCCCAGAAGCCACAGGATCAATAAGCTGTTAGGAGCCAAGAAAACTCAGCAAACTGCACAGATAATTAAAGGCTGTGTGAACAGGTTGCATCTTTTCTGACTCTATTAAATCAGCTCTTCAGTTTTATGTAAAACAATCAGCTGAGCTGAAGGTAAAACCAGCTGTGTCTCTGGGTATTTACAGAGGGGGGATGAAAAATAGGGGGATAAAAAATGGGACAAAAAATGCATGGCCAGAACTGCCAGAAGAGGCTGCAAACAAAGCACCTCCAGTTCCCCATCCTTCAGGGGTAACTGAGCATGGGCTGGTGGGGCTGGCACAGAAATGACACTTTATTCCTAAACACCTTTCCTGCAGTGCCACCTTGGGATCCAGGGTTCCTGCAGTGAGCAAAGCTCTGGTGCTCCTCCCTGAGAACAAACGCTGTGCTGACATTTTATACAAACAGGTCCCAGAATGGTTTGAGTTGGAGGGGAATTAAAGCCCAGTTCATTCCAACATTCTGCTGTGGGCAGGGACACCTCCCACTAATCCAGCTTGTTCCAAGCCCTGTCCAGCCTGGGGATATCCCTTCATTTATTCATGATAATTAATTGATATTAATGTTAAAGTGCCTGGAGCTGGGCCCTCCCTAGGAGGTGAGGCTGGAACCTGGCTGGAGGCACTCAGAGCCCTGGGAGGGGTGGCTCTGTCCTTCAGAATTTCCTGTTAAAGACATTTCATAGAGCTGGAAAGCTCCTGTCCTCTTACAGCTGCTGCTGGAAATCATCCCCAGGCACAGAAAAACCCCACTGCCCTTGGAGTGCAGGAAAAGTGGGACCAAGGCTGACATCCCTGTACCAGAGAGCTTGGGAGGAGATTCCATCTGTTGCTCACCAAGGACCATTTCCCCAGAGGTTGGGTCAGTTGTTTTTACCCCTTTTCCCCGAGCTTTGAGATGTGAATTCTGCTAATGAGGTCAATTTGTTTCCCTGGCAATGACAGATCCCAGCTGATGGAGCAGGGGAGCCTTTGTGTTTCCAGGCCCTGAGTGCTCCTGAGTGTGAGCTCACAGAGCTCCTGCTGCTGCTGTGACAGGGGGATGGAGCACAGGGGGCCCTGGAGGGGTTCTGCCCCTCTCCAGAGGCAGTTTTAGTGGGATAACCCAGAGTGGTGGCACTGCCTGGGGCAGCCTCAGCCACTGCTGCCTCCCCTGGTGTCCCCTTGATCCTCTAGGTCACTTTTTGGCTCTTCCTCTGGCAAAGGTTGGTGTTTGGGCAATTATGGGTTGCCGTTTGCTGACTTCTGCCCCTGAGCAGCAGCAATGCTTTGGGCCTAAGTTATTTTGTGCTTCTGGACACCCCCAGCAGCATTTTAGTGTCTCCCTCTGCTCTCCCACACACTCCCTGCTCAGGGGTGACCTTTCCCAGCCCTCTTTGCTGCTCCCAGCCCTCCCCTGGCAAAGGAACCCTCATTTTAAATGAGTAACCACCTTCAGAACACAGCCAGCCTTGGTGCAAACCCTTCCCAGGTGCCCCAGCTGGCAGGAGCTCTCTGGAACGTGGCACCAGCCCTTCCATGGCTCTCCCACCCCTCTCTCATTCCCTGCCTGCTGTTCCCATTCCCCTCACTGTCTGTGGGCTCCTCAATCTGCACAGTATGATTTCCAGTTACATTTTTGTTGCTGAGCCCATAAATCTCCTCCCCAGACTGATTTGTTTTGATGCCCAGGCAGAGCTGTGGTGCTGTGGGGAGAGAACCAACCAAGCCAGGCTGAGGCTTTTTATGCTTTATTTATTTTATGGTGGCCCTTTCCTCCTCTCCTGGACAAGAAATGACCTCATTGTGTTTTAATATTCTAACAGCAGTGATTTTCAGTCCTTGAATCCTTCATGTAGGGCCAGCTAAAAGCTTCTGACCCAAAGCAGCAGCCCAGAGCAGCCCAGGGAACATTGATTATATATGGAGTGAGCTCTGAGCTTGTTTTGATGTTGATGAGCTGGGAAGGGAAGCTTCTCACTCTGCTTTCTTTAAAAAAAAAACCCAACCAAACCCACTCAGTGCTGAGCCCACGGGATCATCATTATCCTGAAGTGCACTAAGTGGATAATTGAGCTAATCCACACTGTGAGGGAGGCACTGATGAGCCAAAGCCAACTCTCCACAACAGCTCTGCTTTTTTCCCCTTTTTTCCATGGCAGTAATTTGGTGCATCCTCCAGCATGCACGGATCTATTGACAGAAATCCCTTTCCAGCTCTTTCTGTGTCTCAGGAGGGCTCAGTCCTCCCTGGGCACGGGGATGTTGTCAGTGCCAGTGGAACAGAGGTGGCTCAGGCACTGCCACACCTGCACAGGGCAGAGGCTGGGGATCTCTCTTTGGAGATACTGGAATTATTTCCCCATGGCTGATGTGTTTCCCAGCAGGTGAGGCTGAGCTGGAGATGAGGCAGGAGCAGCTCCTGGGTGGTTTTTGTGTGTGAGGGAATGGAGCAAAGCAGGAATAAAGGATGCAGAGCTCACTCGAAATGCAAAGTGCCTCTGGTTTGGGAATTTGTGAGCTGGGGGGTCCAGGCAGCTCCAGGCAGGCCCCAGGTCCTGTGCAAACACTTAGCAGGGAATAAAAACCTTGCAGGAAGGAGTTTGTGATTTAAATAATTTAAACAGGCTGAGGGGCTTGAGCTGTGCATGAGGAGCAGAGCCCAGTACTGAGGTACCTGGGTAGAAAGAAGAAATTGCTGCAGTTTCTTTTTCTTTTTTTCTGCAAGGAGAAATCTTGTTCTTGATTAAATCCCCCTGTGTTCCCCCAGCTCCTTGGCCCCCATGGTTTGTTGCTGGGACAGAGCCCCTGCTGCAATAAAAGAGCATTTCTGCCTTCAGGAGATCAACACCCTCTGGAGCACCACCACACTCTCAGCCTTCCTTTCTCCCACATTATTTTATTTTGGCAATATTTAAAATTTAAAAGATTCTTTTATGATGCTTCTGTGTCCAGCTTATGCCCACCCTGATAAATCCAGCCCATAAACTGAGCTCTTTATTTCTCAGCCCCCTGAAGAAGCCAGAGCAGCAGCTCTCAGCACTGCCTGTCCTCTGCTTTTTCCTGGGCATTCAACCTGGACAGAGGCAAAATTCAACACTGGGCCTTTATTAAACATTATCATTTATTTTGTTTATGGATAGCTCCTTTACTTCAAACAGAAATATTCCATATTCACTGGAAAGTTTTGGGTATTTTTCATGCCTGTTGGAAAGATTAGAATTTAAAAAAAAACAATAAGGAAAAAAGGCTTGGATACATGCAAATCATACTGACTGTTGCCAAATGTATTAAAAGTAGCAGAGTTTTTCCTAAGTTACCTTCTTGCAAATGGAGGACAAACAACCACTGGCAGCCTGAATCCCCTCTGGAAAAATGGACAGAGCCAATGGGACCAAAAATCTGTTTGCACCCAAAACAGCCAAGCTGGAATCTGCTGGGAGCTGCTCAGGGAAAGGCTTGGGGCAAAGAGGCTCCCCCTGCAAAGGGAGTCAGCTCTGCTCCTGGAACACAGAGAGGAATCTTCCCCACATTCCAGCCCTGCTGCTCTGGGCTGATCCATTTCCCACTGAAAATAACCCCAAAGCCCTGGCTTAGAAAAAACTGGAACCTTTTAGGAACAAAGCACTTCTGGTCCAGGGGGCAACAGCCATGGCCAAGGGACCCCAAGGATTTCTGGGGCTCTAAATCCCAGCTGGCTGTGTGGCAGTGACAGGGGATGAACCCCAGGCTTGTTTTACCTTTTTTAACCCTTCAGTACCGTGGTCTCTTCTTGTCAGTGATGCTCCTGAGCCCTGACTCCAGGATTTGTGTGTCCCTCCCATTAAAAGCTCAGGAATTTTTAGAGCTGGTGGGAAACTGGGTTTTACTGGGTAAATCCTGGGCAGGCACAGGTGCCAGCCTGGTTTTGGTAAGGCTGGAGGTGAGGGTGGTGTCCAGGCACGCTGCAGGCTGGGATTTAACCCTGCCCCAGGAAAACAGAGCTCTCCCTCTGGGCTGGGCTCACAATACTGAGAGGAACACCCCAGGTTGGTGTGTGAGCAGGTTTTTGAGCCCTGCTTTGTGTGTGAGCAGGTTTTTGTTGTGTCTCAGGAGCCAAGCCTCTCACCAGTGATTCCTGAAGTCAGGAGTGGGAAGGATTGAAGGTTTCTCCCAGGCAGGTGCCTTTGGGGTGGCTGCTGTCTGTCCATCCCACGTGGGGAGCAGCTGAGATGCAGCGCTGAGGGAAGGGAGCCTTTCCCTGCACAGCCTGGGCACCTCCCTGCTCCCCTCTCTTGCCCTTCTGAGGTTCTGCAGCCCCTTGGAGATGCATTTGTGAGAGAGCCAAAAGCACAGCACACCACTAATGCTTCAGAACACCTGGCCAGCTGTTAGGAAATACAAACACTCCACGTGATCACTTGGATGTGTTCTTCCAGAAGGAAATCACTGACGTTCGTGGCACAGGGGGAAGGCAGCACTGGGACTCCTGGAGCACCCAGGAGAGGGAACAGAACCCCCCCAGCTCTGAGGTTTGAAGTCATCCTTGCTCAAGGTGCCCACCCAAGGGCTGGACATCATGTCTGTGCTGTGGCTGCCCCTTGCTCTGGGCCAGGGAGCTCCCCAGCCTGGGCTGTTCTGTCCATCTGCACCCAGTCCGTGCTGCCAGCCTGGCCTGGCCCAGCCCTCAGCTCCTCCTGGCTGTCCCCCAGCCCCTCCTGCCCCTCCAAATCACTGACCTGACCCTCCCCAAACTCCAGGATGGTCGGCAAATTCCCCTGCTTGGGGCAGCGCCTCTTCAGGCTCACCAGGAAGGGTTGGGGCAGCGAGAAGATATCCACATTATTGCCCAGATCGATCCAGGTGACGCTGGGGAACTTCTTGGGGTCCTTGAGGGTCTCGGTGAGGTCCCTGAGGATGGCCTTGGTCAGGCGGTTGCCGTTGAGCGCCAGCGTGGTGAGGCGGGGCAGCCCGCAGAGGGCGGGCAGCAGCTGCAGCAGCATCTCGTCCGTCAGCTCGGTGAAGCACAGCTCCACCGTGTCGATGTGCTCCGAGCTGTGCTCCAGGTACGACGTGACCCTCTCCAGGTCCTTCAGGGTCAGCGGGATCCCCGACAAGTCCACGGTGTTGTCCTGGGGCTTCCCCATCAGCACGGCCTTCAAGCTGCAGACAGGGGAGGCGAGGAAGGGGTTAATGAGGGGTGCATCTGCTTGGGGGCAGCGCTGCTGAGAGGGAAGTGTGGGAGCCTGGGTGTGGGAATTTGGAACTTTCTGTGCTGTGAGAATCTGGAACTTTCTGTGCTGAAAGGCACAGACCCACCAGAGAACACTGCATTTAACTTGAGGTGTGGAGAAGGCTTCCAAAATTGATTAACAGCACTGGGATCACAGGTGTGCAGTTGGTTGTTCCAGGTTTCCATCCTGTAACATCGCAGGGTGGAGAACTTCAGAGTTTGGGAATTGATTGACAGCACCGGGATTGCAGGTGTGGAGTTGGTTATTTCCACCCTGTAATAGCACAGGGTGGAAAACTTAAAATTTGGGGCTTTACAATATAGAAATAAAAATGAAGTAAGATAGAAGTTTTAGAGCAGAGACAAGTGAGGATGGTGTTGGCTCTGCTTGGGAGCAGTCTGCTGAGAGGGAAGTGTGGAAATCCTGGATGTGAGAATCTGGAACTTTCTGTGCTGAAAGGCACAGACCCACCACAGAACACTGCCCTTGACCTGAGGTGTGGAGAAGGCTTCCAAAATTGACTGACAGCACTGGGATCACAGGTGTGGAGTTGGTTATTCCAGATTTCCACCCTGTAACATCACAGGGTGGAGAACTTAAGAGTTTGGAGTTTTACAATATAAATAAATATGAAGCAAGATAGAAATTTTAGAGCAGAGACAAGTGAGGATGGGGTTGGCTCTGCTTGGGGGCAGCGCTGATGAGAGGGAAGTGTGGGAGCCTGGGTGTGAGAATTTGGAACTTTCTGTGCTGAAAGGCACAGACCCACAAGGGAATGTCAGGAGAACCACAAGGGAACACTGCCCTTGACCTGAGGTGTGGAGAAGGCTTCCAAAATTGTTTAACAGCACCGGGATCACAGGTGTGCAGTTGGTTATTCCAGATTTCCACCGTGTAACATCGCAGGGTAGAAAATATGAATCAAGATAGAAGCTGGGATGGATGGAGGAGTGTGGGAAATGGTTTGTGGAGAGTTCTCAGGGCTGACACAAGGCCCACACAGTGTGCAAACCTTGAGATAAGAAATGCTGACTTAGAAATGCCATGGAATAGGACAGACATTGTTGAGAGAGAAATGGAGCTACAAAAAAGTTTCAGAAGATGGCCTTGCAAATCAGACTGGATACTTTGGAGAAACAGAACTATGAAAGATGCACTGTAGTGGCATCCATGAGGGGTTGTTTTAGATTATTGCCTTTAAGGCATGGCACAGCAAGAAGCTGATAGGCCAAGAAACTTACGATGCATTGTAATTTAAAAATAGTTTGCCTCTGATTGTGATGGCATGAATTTTAACACCTGCATTGTCTCACCCTTCTCATGAGAAAATGGAATAAAAGTTTTTAAAACACCTCTCATTTGCCCCATCTCTGGGGCAGAAATGGATATTGTCCCTTTTCCAGCAGCTCTTCTGCAGGGTGTCTGTGCTGCTGGGGGTCACTGGGACATTCCAGGGCTGTTTCATGAGGATCCCACATTCCAACCCCATCCTCCAGGAGTGCAAAGTTCATTTTTACCACCCTGGCATAAAGAGGCTATCCTGGCTTTTCAGAGCCTTTCCTGCTGCTTTTAAAAGGGTGAGGAAGCCCAGGGTTAGGCAGGAATTGCTGTGGGACATTTCCCACTAGGAAGCTCTGGAGCAGGAGGACACATTTTTTGTCCTCTCAGCTGCACAGGTGGGAAACTGAGACCCCAAGCTTAGAAAAGGAAGCTCAGACACCTCCAGGGTGGTTTGACTTCATTGCCAGTGTGTGAGAACTGTTCTCTCCTTTCTGGAGGAGATGAACCCTACAAGAAACCCTCAGATAAACACATTAACCCTCAGATAAATACATTAACCCTCAGATAAATACATTAACCCTCAGATAAATACATTCATTCTCACAATCTCAGAGATTTATGAGCACGAGCTAGGCTGGACTTTCACAGGTCAGTTTATGTCCAGCAAAGCCCTGCTGGCAAACCATGTGCTGAGGATGTTTTTAATGAATTATCCTGGCTGCCTGAGGGGGTGGAAGGAGCTCTGTGACCGCTGTGTCAGCTTGGTGGCCTCAGGTGTCTCCTGGGCTGCCCAAGGAATGATGCTGTGGAGAATTCTGTGATGCTGCTGCTCTGGGACTGTTTTATCCAAGCTGCCCATGAGGGATGACTGCCCAGAGATTCCAAAGTAGGCAAAAAAGAGGAGTTTTACCCCAAAAATCCATGCCCATAAATTGGGTACCACTTAAATCCAGAGCTACTCCGCATCCAGAGCTGTAACTTGGTGTTGGCAGCTGTTCCTCTTGGATCATCAGCCACATCATTTTTGGGAGCAGCCCCATGTGGGATCATGAAGCCTCACTAACAAGTTTTACCCAGCAAAAACCCCCCAAATTATTCTTGTCTTGCAGCCTTTGAGCACCAAAGCAGCATCTCACCCCCAAATAAAGCACAGAGCACCCCTGGGAATCAGTGATAACCATTTATCAGCACGACAGCCAGGCTTGATCCTGGTTTGATCCATTTTTTCCTGTGGGATGTCTGGTGTGGCCTTCAATAAGCAAAGTTAAGGAGATAACAAAGGGGGAATGGGGACAGCTTCAGGGCAGCTGTATTTTATTTTTTCCTATTTTCATCTGCTTTCAGAATTGCTGCACATTTGTCCTTTCCCTCAGAGCATGTAGAGGATTTCTGCCCGGCAGGAAAAGGGGGTTTCTCCCTGGGGTTCCATCCTTTCCCCCTGAGAGGGATTGAGCAGATCCCCAGTGGAACAGATTGATTGATTCCCTTTACAAGCTGCCTTTTCACCCTGCAGATGAGCACAAAGATCCCTGAACCCCCAGGTCAGAGTGGCCTGGGCTGCTCCTGGGGGAGGCTTTGCCCTCCTGTCCCCGGGGAGCCAAGCAAACAAACCCCAAACAGGATTGCATCCAAGCAGTTCTGAGGCAGAACATGGAAATAAGAGGGATATTTATGTTAACAAACAGCTGGAAAAGCTCCCAGCCCTGCCAGAAAATTGGCCCCAAAGCCCAGGAGGAAAATCTTAACCATTAAACAAATCCCTGTGAGCTTTAGTGGGGGATCAGTTACACCCACTTGGTTTCATCCTCACATTTTACAAGGCTGTTCCATAGGGAAAACACTGATTTTTTTTTCTTCCCCCCAGCTGGGGTTTTGCCCAATATAACACCAGGATTGGGAATAGAGCCCTTCCCTAAGCTCCCACACTGGCAGGATGCTGATTTATCCGCGCTCACGCTGAGCTGAAAGCTCTGTGCCATGGAATCAGATCAGAAAATGTTGTCATAAACAGAAATATTGATGTTTAGATCAAAGGGAATGAAAAGAAAGGGGTTTCCTCCTGCTTTAAATTCATGGCACTGCTCTCAAGCACTGCACAAATCGTGACTTGTGTCGTGTGCTGAAGGAAAATTGGGATGTTCAGCCCAATTCCCTGCAAAGAAACAGCTCAGGGAAAATGAAGAGGCAGCCCCAGAGAGTGAGGAATTCCAGCAAGGAATCTGGAGAGACACCTGGTGAGAAAAGTATTTATGAAAATGGCAGTGAAACATTATTGGGTGTAATGAGTCACCCAAAAAAATCCAACACAACAAAAAAAAGGTAAAATCCTGAGATAAAGGATTTGTCCTGGAATAATGGTGGTAGCAAGGATCAGCATTAAATCTTTTTTCAAAATCCCTGCTCCAAATGATGGCAGTCAAACACTGGAGTAGAGATTTGGGAAAGGAAGGAACACAAACAAATGCTGCAAATTCAGTGAGAATTGTGAGTCAAGGGCTGAGAATCCCCAGCCTCAGAGGAGGAATCAAGGCAAATAAATACATTATTTGTCTTGAGTATTTGTCTTGAATAATAAATAATTGTTACATAATTATTTAGCTGAAAGAGGGAATGTGACTTGATAAGAACATATTGTATATTGAATAGCCTGTATTCTTTAATATTATATTTATATATTATTATTTTATATAATATTGTTTTATTATATTGATTTATTATTTATTATGTTAATTTATATATTTATATTATAATTATAGATTATAGTATAGTATAGTATTTATTTATTTTTATTATATTAATTTATATTTTACATTATAATTATAGATTATTATTTTATATTTTATTTATATATTCTAAAATATATCCATATAATGAGGATGAATAAAACAGAAATGAGAATGAAATGCTCTTTTTTCACCCCTCTTAATGCAGGGTCTGAGGACACCTCCTGATGCTGAAATATTGAATTCTTAGGGGATAAAAGGAGCTCAAATTAACCTGCAGCCATGGGATACCCCTGAGATCAAGGATTTTGTGGAGGTCCCAAGTGGACAGGGCACTGCTGTGGCTGAGAACATCCAAAATCGCGGTAGGATTTAAAAATAAATGAATAAATAAATAAAAAATTGGCTGTGGACTGACTGAAATTGAGGAGCAATCAAAATTCTGCAATTCACCCAAATGGAGTGACCAGAATTGGAATCGCCAAATTCTCCAAAATTTAGAGCCAGGAAATTCCTCCTTTGGGTTCATCCTCATTTTTTTTTACTGAATTTTACACAACCCCAGTGTGGGCACTGCTGGGATTGCTCCTGAGCTGCCCCAGCCCTGTGGTCACAAAGGTTTATAAAAAGGTTTATAAACAGCACAGTTTAAAGCCTCTGCTCCCCACAGCTTGGAAAGACTTCCCTCCTCAGAGACTCTCAGGGTAAAGAGGATTTTTAAAATACATAAATTTCAAAATATGGAACTTTAAAGCTCCTTTTGAGCTTACCAATAAATTCATTAAAAATTGCTAAGTCTTTGCTGTTAAGAAAGCACCAGTGGGGATTAATTATTGTGCTCTCTTCCTGTTCCAAGAGCTTTCCCAGTTTTGCCAAGGTTTGCACTTTTCTTGTCAGAAACTCCCAAAATCCCTGGTACAACATCATCCCTGTGCTGCCCAAATTCCAGCCTGCTCCTCCTGCAGAGTGCTGGATTTTGGAGGGTAGGAAGGGCAGGTTGCTCAGCCTGGCCCTGAAATGTGACATCAAAATTAACTTTAATGTGTTTATGAAATGATTGTGCCTGCTGGGAATGCTCTGTGGGAATCACAACCCTAAACAGCATATTGAAAAATAAATAAATAAATATCCCCAAACATTTTGGGTTGTGCTCCTTGGACTCAGCACAGGAATTTTGAAGCATCTTAAAAGCAAACCTGGGGGGAAAGCTAAAATTGTTCCTATGGCAGCAGGACCCCACAGTGACCTCCTGTGCTGTTCTGTGCTCTCACAGCTTCCTAAATCCCCAAATCCCCAATTCCCTGTTTCCCTTGGCTCCACACCCAGCTCCAGGCCAGGGGTTTGGATGGCAAAAGGGAATTCTGGGCTCCATCCATAAATCCTGGCCAGCAGGATCAGAGTCAGGAGCTGTGGCTGACAGCTCTGATCCATGGAATGGTTTGGGCTGCAAGGGACCCACAGGGACACACAGGGACCCCAAACCAGCCCCTCCATGGGGACAGAGCCTAAAACCCCAGGGACAAACAGCAAGGAGAGGGAATTTTATCCTGGGTGAGGGCTGGGCACTCCCACAGCCATAAGGCTCCACCTCGGGCTGTGGGACAAAGGGACACTGGAGAGCAGGGACAGAGCAGGGGACACCTCACAGTGTCACTTCACAGAGCAGGGGACACCCAAGAGAGCAGGGACACCCCACAGTGTCACCTCATAGAGCAGGGACACTTCACAGAGCAGGGACACCTCCCAGTGTCACCTCCCAGGGCAGGGACACCCAAGAGAGGTGTCACCCAACAGAGCAGCGTCACCACACAGAGAAGTGTCACCTCACAGAGCAATGTCACCCAAGAGCAGTGAAACCCCACAGAGCAGTGACACCACACAGAGCAGGGACACCTCACAGAGCAATGTCACCCAACAGAACACTGTCACCCTAGAGAGGTGTCACCCTGCAGAGCAGTATCACCACACAGAGCAATGTCACCCAAAAATGTCATCCCACAGAGCAGTGTCCCCTCACAGAGCAGAGACACCTCACAGTGTCACCCAAGAGCAGTGTCTGGGGTCATGCTGGACTCCCTGACCTGGGAGGGCTTTCCCAGGATGATCCCATGGAAATGCCACCCTCCCTTGTCCCCCTGTCCCTCCCTTGTCCCCCTGTCCCTCCCTTGTCCCCCTGTCCCCCTGTGCCACAGCCCCTCAGTGCCCCTCAGCAAAGGGACCCCATGAAAAGCCAGGAGCTGCTCAGAAATTGGATTTCTGCTATCCCCCATCGGTATCTCCAGCAGGGACAATTAGCAGCTCATTTGCATACAGCTCATTTGCATACATCTCATTTGCGTGCAGGTTGGGATGGGGAGGGAAAGCTTGCTCTGTTTCAGAACCATCATTCCCCCTCCTCTCAATTTGTTTTTATTTCCTGCTAAACAAAATGCTAAAAAGAAACACTTGGGAGCAATCAAAATGCTTTGCTATAATTATAACTCTATTTAATTTAGTGGGAAAAAAAAAATAAAAGTAAATCTGCTGCTGTTGGAGAGCTCCATTTTCCTATCCCATCCTCCCCAAAATAAAATGTATTTATATCACCCTCCCAATGATCCAATTTGCTCCCAAACCTCTGATTTTATACAGAAATTGCTGGAATTTTCCCAGCAAACTCCACTCCAGGGGAATAAGGAGCTGCAGCTGATAGAACCTGGATTTTACAGGAGAGGCAATTTGCACAGAGAAAAGCAATCAGCAATTCAAAGGAAAACATCCTGGGCTCGTTGCTTCTGGAAATGACTCCCTGGAAGAGAATTGGCCCAAAATAAGGATTTGTGTTACAATAAATGAGAGTTTGCCATAAAACAAACAGCATTTTCTTCAGATTCTAGCACAGGAGGGAAAAAAAAGGCTGGAAAGGCTCTTGGAATGGGACTTTTATGATTAAAAGTACCCAAGTCGTGCTAGATTTACATGAGCAATTCCCCACTAAGGAGAGAGGAAGCAGGGCTGGTTAGGAAAAGGACCTTTAAATCCATTTGCAGCCCTCAGGAACCAAAGAGAAGAGGCCACAGGAAAAGAAATTCCTAATAATTTGCTCATAAAAACACCCAACTGGCTGCCAACAGTGTAAAAAAAGTGAAAGAAGAGGAGGAAAATGAAAAGGGAGAGGGATGTGATGGAGAACAGCAGTGCTGGCCAGGACTCCAGCACTTTTCTGGAAAAGCAGGATGGAGATTTCCCTAAAATCCATAATTCCAGCCTCTCCCTTTGGTTTTGTTGGGGCTTTGTTTGATTTTTGGAAAGAATTAGAGGCTGGATGTGACCCCAAAAGTGAGGGCAGAGCGTGGCTGCTCCTGCTCTGTCCCCTCACCACAAATTGAGTTTTGCCACGTCGATGGAAATCAGGGCTGGTGTTAATTATCCCCATCCCATTGCAGAGCCTCAGGAGTTTTGGGATGGGGGAAACACCCAGGAACAGCCAGGCTTGAAATGCAACAGCTCCAATTCACCAAAATCCTCTCCCAGCCCTCAAATCTGCCCCTGCTGCTGTCAAACAACAAAAAAAAAACCCCAAAAAATGTGTGGAGAACTCTCTGTATCCAGGGCCTCACTGGGGTTTGAGGTTCACACTCAGCAGAGGCTCTTTGTGTTTCCTGTCCCTTGAAATAAGCCGAATTCCATTCACACAAAAGGGAAAACCCCAGGATTTTTGGGGGTGGGGAGAGAAATTTCAACTCTGATCCTCCAGCCCAGTTTTCTCATCAGAAACCGAAAAAATAAAACAACAACAAAAAAACCCCAAAACCCCTCTCCCAACTGCTCTTCCTGCAATTAGGGAGTGATCAGCTGCCAAAATGTGTGCCTGGGGCTTGGCTTTCCCTAAAATGTTTATTTTCTTGGAGCACAGATGACATTTGGAAGAGTTTAGGCTGAGGCTGAGGTCCCCTCTTGCTCTGATGGGAGCCAGAGCCCCAGAGCAGCCAGCCCGGCTCCCAGGGCCCTGCTGTCCCCTCCCTCCTTGGCCAGGGATTGTTCCCAGAGCCACCAGCTGCCATCACCCCCTATTTCTCCCTTTTCCCCCTCAAATCCCTGGCAGGACCCTAAATCCTGCCCTTCCCGCCAAAATCCCAGCAGCTCTGGTGCCCAAGTGAAGGCAAAAAGCTCCTGTCATGCTCAGGGATGGAGCAAAGGGAAACTCCTGATCTGGTTTGGGGGACAGGGACACATGGGATGGGTCTGTGCTGTCCCATGTGGGGCTGGTGGCCTCCAACCCCATCCAGGGGGTCAGGAAGCTCCTCCAGAGCACAGAACATCCTGAGGAACATCCAGGGATTTGTGCTGGAGGAGCTGCAGCAGCCAAAGGAGGGAGAGATGGACACAGTGAGGCAGCCAAGAACCTCTCACCTGACGTTTGGCCAAGTTTTAATCAGAATTTGTACATCTACTGAGCCAAAAAAGCTTTTTTAAATCAGAATTTGCATGTCTATCAAGCCAAAAAAGCTTTGTTTCACCTTTTTTTCAGCACCCAGGTGTTCATTGGCCAAGCAAACTCTGTTCCCATCCCCAAGGGTTTGGGATGGGGTCCCTGGGATTTGGCAGCCCCAGGATAAGGAGCCCTGGGGTTGGAATTTCCAACCCTGGGGTGCATCTGCTTCCCATTAACACCAAACACTGGGTCTGAGCAGCACAGAGCCACCATTGTCCCCTCAGCTGCCCCCCAGTGAGGAATAACAGGACACAACCTGGCCCACTGCTGCTGCCTTCTAAAGAAAAAGGGATTTTTGGGGTGGTTTTTCATCTTCTGTTCCAGTGAGAGGATTTTGTAGCATCCCTCTCCTCTGTCACTGCAGCAGAGGTTGGAATTGAGTTTCTGGCACCCTGTGGGTTGCTATTCCTGCTGGGCACAGTTTTTGGTGCAGTTGTTTCATTTGAAATCCCCTTTCCTGAGCCCAGAAAGTGACTGCAGCCATTCCTGCAAAGCCAAACAAAGGGAAAAATCCAGGAAACAAGGAGAACAGCCTGAGCTGCCCACAGCAAACTCCCTCTCCCCCAGCTCTCCATTGCTTCTGGCAGGTCATTTCCCTGCTGGTGGGGGATTTCAGCCTCCAGCTGCCCCCAGAGATGCAAACAGAGCAGGGATGTGACCCTGTGCCCTGAGCAGCAAACACTGCCCAGCTCCCCCATCCCCAGGCACGGCAAATTCTGCTGGACAAGCACGAAAACCACAAAAAACCTTCCCTGGATTCTCCCTGTTTGGCTTCTCTGCCCCAACAATGCAATATTTTGCTTTTTTTCCTGCTCTCTGCACCCACCAGTGATGAGGGTTTGTGTCACTGTTTAAGGAACGCTGCTGCAAAGATCAGCACAAAAACAAATCTTCAACTCTTCCCCAGTGATTTGTTCTTATTATGTCCATATTATTATGTCAACAGATGCTTTCTTTTGCTTTTTTTTTTTTTGCTTTTTTTTTTCTTTTTCCCCCCCAAATCTCCAGCTCACCATCTTTGGGATAACGAGCCCCACTGGAGGGGCCAGCAGCTGATGAAAGCAGGGAGGGGATGCAGGAGAGGCTCCAGATGGGCATTTGTGCCAGGCCAGGAGCTGCCCAGGGATAATCCACACTCCCCAGGGCACCACAGGAGTGACCTGCAGCACACCACGGTGGATTCATCCCAAAAAACCCCCCCAGCTCCCCAGGCTGGCGCTAATCCTGGATAAGGAGAGAGGAAAACACCTGCAGGAACATATTGCACCCTGGGCTGGACAAAGGGGATCAGCCTTGGGGTCCTCTGACGCTGGGATGTGTCAAAACACAGCCTGCAAAAACCTGAATGCGTCCAGAAGCTTTGGACTTTTTCCTGGAGGTGCCAAAATCCCCTTTTGAGATGCAAAAGAACCTTCTGTGCTTCAGCTGCTCCAGAGGGTTTGGTTTTTTCCCTCCTCCCCATCTCTCTGGAGCCAAGGGGAGTGTGAGGATGAAGGAAGGGGGTGATCCCAGTTTGTGTCACCCATGGGGACAGACAGAACCCCCTGGTGATGCCACAGCCCCCCCATCCCCTTTTTGCAGCGTTATTTTAAATGATTTCCATTCAAAGAGAG